TGTGTGACTTTAAAACAGATACTACTATTAGATAATAATTCATACTATACATTCAGTATTTAAACAACAGAATTATAATTTTGTGAAGTAAATTTTGCACTCAAATAAACAGAAAATCTAATTCTATAACTATTTTTTACAATATTGGGTCATAGACCCAACAAAGACTATATGACTGGGTTAGACGTATGTATTTACTTATGCAATTAGTAACAAAATTCTTCACTCATTCCTAGATTTGAATCCCAGATGCTCTGCGTAGCAGCTGTATAGTCGTGGACAAGTTGCTTAATGTGTCTGTACCTCGATTTCCTCATTTGTACTTCAATTTTCTTATGTAGTAAATATCAAATCACTTAACTCAGAGCTATGAGGTCAGTTTTATCTGAGAGAATCCAGAATAAAATACTTAGCACACATTTCCTAGCATTCAGCATGCATAATAGATACTTAAGGAAATTTTAGATCTCTGTACATGATGAATATATTAAATCCTCAAACTGACTGTAATGTCTGAAAATGCATGTTTTTATGTCACTGTACCTGTCACTGCACTTGGCACAGTGTTGTGAATATATTTGCCATTTTTATGTTCTTTCTACCATACAATTCTGCCACTCCAATTAGTATATGGTGTTGGAAAACAATTGCGTGCTTGCTTTATGTTTTACTAAATTTATACGGAACTACACTGACACTTCCTTGCTTTCGGATGCTGGGACTCACTGGTTGCTTTCTAGTTCTCGGGAGTCTCTATGTGACTCTGGCCTTTACACTTGCCCTGCAACATCACCCTCAGCCCTAGACAAAGCCAACATCATTTCTAAAAACCTTCAAATATGTCTGCAATTCACTGTATGAATGTTCTCATTCTATCAAAACCCTGACCTCACTAACTCAATGGAGCAATATAGGATGATAAAGTAGTTTACATGAAACTCATACCAAGTTTGCTTTATTTATTCATCCAAACGTATGTTTTTAAAGGACAAGGCTTTTATCTGAAACAAAATTATAATTTGAAATTTCAAATAATGTGACTAATAGATTATGAATTCATTTCCAAATATAGAAATAATTAAAACACTTGGGGGTATAGAAAAAGTGAGTGCTGTATCCATTCTTTTCTTATATTAATTTTACCCTAGCTGCCAGATTTTAGTTTTTGTCTTTTTTTTTTTCTCTTTTTCTTTTTATGAGACGGAGTCTCGCTCTGTCGCCCAGGTTGGAGTGCAGTGGCTGGATCTCCGCTCACTACAAGCTCCGCCTCCTGGATTCACGCCATTCTCCTGCCTCAGCCTCCCGAGTAGCTGGGACCACAAGCACCCGCCACCACGCCCGGCTAATTTTTTTGTATTTGTAGTAGAGGTGGCATTTCACCGTGTTAGCCAGGATGGTCTCCATCTCTTGACCTCGTGATCCACCCATCTCGGCCTCCCAAAGTGCTGGGATTACTGGTGTGAGCCACGGCGCCAGGCCCAGCATTTAGTATTTTTAATATCAACTGAGAGATTTAAGGCTATTATAATTTTCCTATTTTGATTTTCCTCTTCTGTTTATAACTCAAAGTAATTTGACAGTATACACTGTGATGTGTCCCCATGTATCAAACATTTAAAATATATATTTGGAAGCAAAAAATTGTATGTGTGTACATATATATAAATTTATATATATATACATATAAAATTTTTTTATCATTCTGTCTCCCAGGCTGGAGCTCAGTGGCTCAATCTCTGCTCACTGCAAGCTCCGCCTTCCGGGTTCACACCATTCTCCCAAGTAGCTGGTAGCTGGTACTACAGGCGCACGCCGCCA